CCAGGAGCCCCAATAAGTACATATCATTGAAATGCTGAGGATTTCTCTTGTCTAGTAGGTGGCAGTAAAGGTTATGTTTTCATCTATATAAACAAAATGTTGCTAAGAAACATCTCATTTCTGGAACATCTTGCCTGTTGGTTCTGAAAGAAAAAAAAAAAGTCAGGCAGCTCTGCAAGAGTAGGCGAGAACAAGAAAACAATAGGAATTTTATCCATGAGGTATTGTGAATGTTATAAATACACACTGCAGAATCTACACGTCTGCATGGATATTGTTCCTCAAGCTGGCTGCTCTGCATGTGAGTGTGAGGGGTAGAAGAAAAAGTTGTTGTTATACAAAATGTTTTTGCTCCTCTTTAGAAATCATAGCTAGAGACAGCCTGCCAACCAGACAGGCATGCTAGTCACACTATTGATTCTGTGATGTACTACAAAGAATGTGGGCATTGGGAACTATTTAACACCCATGGGCCTTCATTTACTCATCTGCAAAATGGGTTCAATATTAATCTCAAGAGGGGAGATGCTATTAATAATGTCCATTTAATGACCAAGGAAGCAGGCTTTGAGAAGGGATGGAAATTATCTGAGAGATCACAACTTAGTATTAGGCATAGCCAAAGGATGGCTCCCCTTATTTATGGTCCCAAGTCAATGTTCTTTACCACTACATGATAATACCTCTCAGTAGCTAAGCTGAAAAAGAGATACAACAGTTTCTGTTCTGATGTATGTGTGTGTGTGTGTGCAGCAATATGTGTAGCAGATATGCAAAGCTCATATATATAACATCCCATCATCTCCACTTTCTTTTAGAAGCCTGTGGATGGTTGCGTTGATTTTGAATTCATTTCAAATGTAAAACTGAGTGTCATCAATGATCAACCTTAGCTAAGTTTCCAGCAGATTGCTCTAAAACAAGGTTCTCAGGCAATTAAGGCAATCTAAACAGGAGATCAGCAAGCACAGCAGGCAAAGCAACCTGGCTTTCCATCTACCTGACTTTGCAAACAAAGATGAAAAAGCTGTCTTTCTTTTTAGCTCCTCTCATAGAAGTTTGTCAGGCACAGAAGTTCTCAGTTGTCAGTGTGTCTGTCTACACCATAGAGCATTTAATTGGGCCTCTTCACGTGGTGGACTGGTCCCTGTGTTATGCATCTGTGTTTCTGTAAGTAAAGAGAAGGAAGATCCTGAAGTCACGTCTTTCTGAAACTGAAGGCACCACTTCATCTTGGACAGGTGAGGGTGGTGGGTGGTGTTTATTTCTTAGAACCTAGATTTATTTTATTATTATTGAAAGGTACTGCAAGAATAAATTCTGGCATATGTGTGGTGGTTTGCATATAAAATAAGAACTACTTTCTTGTGTAACTGGAGCCTCATCACTTGGAAAGGACATCAGATTATATCAACACCCTAGTGGGCTTGTTAGTCAACAAATAACTAGGATATGGCTGTACCAGTTGTCTGTATTTTGTTCCCTGATTGGTCATTATCTCTTATCAGTTGCTAAATATTTTTTTAGGAGTAAATACTGTAGTCAAGCACTGAATTAAGCTCAGATGATAGTAGATTACTGGCTACGAAGAGGTTGTTGAGGTATAAAATATGAGGACTATCTAGAGGATGACAATCCCGTTTGACCTGTAATTTCATTTCTATTTCACTAAGAGATGTAGTTTCTACTTATCAGAAAAATAACTTCTGAACTTCCATTGTTTTCACAATACAGAGAAAAATTCTGTTTCTATTTATTGTTAAATGACACAAAGAAAAAGATGTCAGTTCATGAATCAGTGACAACCAACAGAGAAGTGGCCATACCTGGGGTGAGAGTGGGGTTAGGCAACAAGCCCTGTGTGAGACATAGGAATGCAAAAGAAGCAAGTCATTCTGCTGCCTGCAGTAATTCCTGCAAATTTTCTCTAACCAGCGCTATGAAGTGACAATGAAGAGTTGTAGTTCTAGGTCATTTGGTGACCGGAAGGCATATGTTGCACAGTAGGTAATATTTACGGCATTTTTATTGCAGGAAGCCAATATGGTTTCAGAAAAAGGTGCTGTAGTCAGCATGCTGGCTTGTTTACTAGGATTATTTCTTAGAGTATCAAGGTATATGTTCAAGCTCAATAAATGCGTGATCTCACAAAGTCACCAGGGTCATTTCTGGCTCAGTAGACCTTTATTCCCAAATCCTTCATTATAAAACCAACCAACTCACCTAAACATCTTGAATTGCATCGCCAATTTTGGCTAACGTTGACATGCCAGCCTGCATCTCAACCTCAACCAGGACATGACATAGTATTTCTCATGAATCTGTTCTCTTTCCTTTTTTTTGTCCTTGCCCCTTGTATTTATCTGTTGATTGTCATTTTTATTTCTCTAACAGAAACCTAGAATATCATTTGGAATAACTTCATATCATGTACTGATATGGGGTGCCTACTAAATATGACTCATTGTGCTAAATGTGGTGGAAATGATGAAGAAGAACGTAACAGTGTCCAGTGGAGCCAGCTATGATTAATGGGATAGTATAGGCTTTGGAGTCGGGTAAATCTGGCCATGTCAGATGTACTTCACCTTATTCTGTTTGTGAAGATGAAACTAAAATTGTAAGGTACATAGTAGGGTATCAGCATACAAGGCAGATTTGAACATGCTGCCATAGAGAAATCATGGAACCTTCATTCCTTATCTGTAAAAATGTGATTCAATTAGCCTGTTCCAAGAGTTCATAATTCTAGTGACTACAAACTATTTCTCACAGAGAAATACACAATAAATTTCAGAAATGATTTTATACAAGAAAGAATTCAGAGGTGACTGAGAGAATATAGAAGTAGGACAAACAAGAGCTGGCCTCTGAGGTGTTACAAAGCCCAATGGTATAAAATATCAGAACAAATGTGCTTGTGATTAGAAAGCTGAACCAAAAAGATGAGAAGGAATAACAAAATTGCATGCAAAATCAATCCTACATTGCTTTCTTGGCACTTTGCTTTCCACTTGTAACCTTGATCTGGATGACATGGTTCTACCTATGGTTTAAAATGTGTTTCCTAATAAGACATTATTATAGCAAAAGCAAATAAAAGCAAATATCAACAAACAAAATTTTTAAACTATAAATAAAAAATAAGTTCTTCAGGATGTTCCCATTGCTTATAGGGACTCCACAAGAAAAAGACTGTATTTTATTTAATAAGTATGAACAAATGCATAGATATATTGATTAACTACTATGACAGGCATTTTGCCAAATGCCGAGGACAATGGGATACATCAGATAACTGATGAATACTGATTCAGTGTGGGTTATAGAGGAGCCCACACACAGGAACTCTACTCTGTAGTGCATGCTGTGTAGAGAGAAATCAAGCAAGGCATGGAATCTTGAAGGAAAAGCACATAGTTTAGATCACCGGTTCTCAGTCATGGTGATTTTACCTCCCCTGGGACATTTGATATAACAAGGAGACATAGTTTGCTGTCACAAGTCATAAGCTGGAGTCCCAATGCAATCTACTGAGTAAACGCCACGGGATAGCCTCCCACATCAGAGGATGAGACATTTCACAATGTTAATACTGTCAAGGTGGAGAAATCCTGCTCTAGATGTGAAGCGTTAGGGAAAACTTCCTAGAGAAAGTGAAACGATGCATAAGTGTTAACAGTCTATTAAATTTAGCAAGAAGGAGGTTGTGAACGGTAGGTAAAAGTTGAAAATGGTTTGAAGACTGACTGGGAAGCAAGAATGAAGAGGCAGAAACAATCCTTTCAAAAATCTTGGCTGAGATGGAAACTGTAGGAGCTGAAGACGATGCTAATTCGTACCTTATTGTATTTGGGGATGATGTTAATGCACACCTTATTGTATTTGGTTTTAGAGATGGACAGGATTTGAATATGCAAAATGCTGACAGAAAACAGTAAATACAAGATGAGTAAAGAGGAAAGTCAAAAGACCCTCCCTGTATCACGTAACTCCACTGATATGAAATATCCCCAAATAGGCAATTCTACAGAAAGTAGACTGGGGAATTCATGTAGATAAGGGTAGGGAGTGGGTTTGAGGGTAATGGCAAGTTATTGCTAATGGTTATGTGTTTGGAGGGAAGGACAGGAAAAAATTTTCTTAAATATTTTGTGTTAATGGGTGTACAACGGTGTGAATAGACTAAAAATTTAAATGGAGTGATTGCATGGAATGTGACTGCTCTTTCAATAATGCTCTTGTTAAAAAATGCAGTGAAAAGGTGTGGGTGGAGAACACTCATCAGGGAGGCGGGTGATGATTTGGGGGTAAGTACAGAGATAATTTTTCGTGACAGCACAGGGTGGGGGACCTGATGGGTCCAGGTAGAGGCTGAGTATGAAGGGGACACAAAGCTGAGGTAGGCTGATGGCTTTTTGTGGATCATTTATGGAGTAAGTGGGTAGAGCAACAGAGGCCCCACTGAGAGGGAGAAGGTGGTGAGATAGGAGTTTAGAGACCAGTGTATGGGTGTCATAAATGTTGGTGCCACAGAGTAACAAGTGATGAATAAGGAATCAGAAGTCTTGCCTTGTAGCTCCAGGAGACCAGTTGAATTTGGAGACATGAATTTACTGTGGCCCTAACCTGGCGGGCTATGGTACTTCTACCCCAGGGTGTGCAGAATTAGTGTTCAAGGAACAAACAATTATTATGCGTGACTCAGACTCAGGTTTCCTCAGTGTCCTGGCACGACAGTGGAAGGGGTGTGTGATGAGGTATTAATACAAAATGAGCAGGGAGAAAGTATGAGAGAAGAGTGCTGCAGTTCCATTAGCTGAGAGGTCGATTTCTTATGGCAAGTCTTATATCTACTGTAGCACCTAAAACCTTAATAGTTTAGATTCATGTAATGCATTATACTCATAGACTATGCCTAGATGCTTTGTTTTTGTCATACTGTAATAATACTGTCTTAGTGCACTTGAAAGGCTATAACAAAATACCATTAAACTGTGTGGCTTAGACACAACATGAATTTATTTCTCCTTGTTCTAAAGGCTGGGAAGTCCAAGGTCAAGTCTCTGGCAGATTGGCTGTCTGGCAGAGCGTGTTCCAGGGTCATTGGCTAGGAACTTTTGGCTAGGTTCCTGAATGGGTAGGATCAGTTCAGATTTCCACATTTTTTGAAAGGTTGCTACTCAGGTACATAGGCTACTCTTTCACCATTTTCCATAGTTGCTGTCTTCCCATGTGGTGTAGATCCTCTGTTTTGAACATAGTATTTGATTCCTTTTCTTCTTCATTTTTTCCCTAAAAGCAAAAGTAATTGGCCTGATTACTTGTATTTTAGAATAAAAGAGATGTATTATTTTTAACAAAAAGGAGTTGCTATGTAGCATTAAGATACATATCGAGTAAGCAAGTTCCAAATATACACTTCGTTAGATCATCTGGCTTTCCCCAAGGTCTTGCTCTTTCTGTGGTAATTGATACACAGCTGACCTTGGTCCAGAATCAGGTCTCCAGCACATAGTTAGGAAAAGGAAACCATAGCCAGTGCTCTGCTGTTGAGGTGCTATATTAAACTATGTACTCTGACCTCCACTTCTCAGGTTTCTTTCCCTGTAACAGTTTGCTAGCACCTTTAGATTTGGACAGCACTAGCTCAGCATGTAGCAGAAGCTTCGGTGGTGAGCCCAGGGTGTCATATAGCCACACTTTCAAGCTAGGGAGGCAAGTGGTGAGTTGTGTATCCAGCAATGGGCAGAACTTTGGGAGCAAGACAATAAACGGATTGGTTGCAGCTGGTGGCATTCTGGTCAGTGTCCCAAGCAGACAACGATGGTCACCAACAGAGCCTAGATGCCGTGTAACAACCACAGCAAGCAGACTGCACAAGAATATGCTGTCATTTGTAGTCTTTTATGAGGGTGTTTTTCAAAGTCATTTGTATGAAAAAACAGAGTAACTGCTCTGGTTATATAAGCACATCTTTGGGGCAAGATAGTACATGTCTTTACCTGGACATTGAAAATCACAAATGACATTTGTTGATGCACAGTATTTGCATATCATAAAATTGAAAGAGTCATCATAGAATAAAGTATTTGGAAGCCCTCTGTAAAAGACAGAGCATAAATTTGTAAGGGATTTTTAATGTTTTTAATTGGATTGACTCTTCCACATATCCACCTCCCTTTTTCTATGCCAGCCTCCCTGTCCCTGTGCTTAGCTATTTGTTCTAATATTCTCTAATGCATTAACTAATAATAACTAGAGGTGTGATCTCTCCCTGGGGTGTCTAGATATATAGGCTCATATTTATTTAATTATAATGATTATTCTTTTAAAATAATGAAAGTAATATATGCTCATTATAAAGATCGGAGAATACATGAACTAATGAAGAAAATAAAATTATCTCTAACCCTTCCACTTCAAGATAATCATTTTCAGGTCATTGCTTTCTGCTCTTTTACCATAGATTCTAGACTATAAAATGTATTTCACACAGTGTGATCACCCTGCATATCATTTTTGAATACTGCTTTTTCATTCAAGATTGTACAGAAAGAATTTTATCTTCTGATGAAATGTTCTTCAGAAACTACTTTAGTGGATTCCTAGGAGTTCATCGTGTAAACATAAATCATCTTAACACTTATTTTCATATCCATGAATATTTTTGGTCTCAAATTTTATTATTATCTAAATAATCCAATTAACATATAGTGTTTTATTATAAAGTTTGTTGCTGTGCTTTGTTTTCATAAATTTCTACTTATCCTTTTAAGGATTATGCCACGTAATGATATTATTAATTGAGGTGATATCATTGTGTGTATATATTTAGTAAAACACTCTTTAAGGTACAAATGGCAGGGTTGGGGATTTAGCTCAGTGGCAAAAGCACCTGCCTGCCAAGCTCAAGGTCGTGAGTTCAATTCCTGATACCAGAAGAAAAACAAAACAAAACAAAACAAAACCCAAAGATACAAATGGCTTAATGTAGTTTGCAAAATTTTAAGAACTTGATTAAGTGTAGTGGTGGAGAAGATCTGTGATAATGAAAGTCTCACATCTGACACAGCACATCGTACCCATGAAAGAAGGTGCATTATGTATTTTAAGCACATTCCATTTATTTTGGATTTATGTGTTCATCAGTGACTCTGGATTTCTTTGGTGTGGCTTAAGATCTTCCCAACCTACTAGTTCACTTTGAGTAAATTATTATGAGTACCTGGCTGATATATCAACACACAAACTATACCATTTTGTCCTTTCTAAGACATTCAATGCTTCTACTTCTGGGAGCATAAGTGTTTCAATTCTTTACTATTTGTAGCCAGCACTGTGCCTTTTAGACTTATGGCTACTAAAGGTGATAGAATCTGTCACTGGTTCTTATAATTGCCTCTGGCCAGATTAGAAGCTACATATCAAGAGCATAATTACTATTGTGAGAGTGTCCCTTTGAGTATTATATCTGTATTTTAATGTTTTCTTGGGTTTTCAACTGTTCACAGTTAAAAAGCTGAACCTTTCCCCCCACGAACTCTTGAAACTCACACGTACACTGTTTGACATCTCATAAACTTACATAAATAAAGATGTGGCAAATAAGAATACTGGTGTGTGTGTGTGTGTGTGTGTGTGTGTAGGTGTGTCTGCTTCACTGAGGCTTGAACCCAAGGAGCACTGAACTATCTTCCTAGTCTTTTTCTTTTTTTTTTTTGGTTTTATTTTGAGACATACTCTTGCTAAGTTGTCTAGACTTACTTTAAACTTATGATTCTCTTTCCTCAGCCCCTTGATTAGCTGGGATTATAGGCATGCACTACCGTGGCTGGCAAAATATTTGCATTCTTGACTTGTTATTTATTTTGGGGTGACTCTACCTACATAACTGTTAGGATCTGGCTAAAATTGTTCCTTTTCCCTAGCTGACTCTTCTACTCAACCTAGCAACTGAATCATTCTTTCCATAAACACAAATAGGTAAAATACAACTAAATTGATTAATGAGGTTGGGATATATGTATCTAATCATCTGGATCTATATCTATGTCTACATTGATACCTATCTCTACCTCTATATTTACATATCATCTATATATCTCCAACATATCCTTAGTGAGATATGCTGCAAATAAATAAGAATTTTGATGTTGTTTCTCCATTGTCTCAAACAGAACTTTGACTTATATTTCAGAAATTGTTTAGCTGTAATGAATCTATCGTATTTTTTTCAGTTCCAAAGCTTTTTCCCTGATAAGATATTACATTGTTGGGGCTGGGGATTTAGCTCAGCGGCAAAAGCGCCTGCCTGGCAAGCGCAAGGTCGTGAGTTCGGTTCCCAGTACCGGAGAAAAACCAAAAAAAAAAAAAAAACAACCAAAAGACAAGATATTACATTGCTGCCTGGGGATGTTCACTGCATGAAAATGGGACAGCAAAGGGCCCAACTGGACCAGTGGCAACTCATTCTACAGAGCAGCTTCACGTGTGTTTTCCTGGCCATTTGAATTATGGTGTTTTCTGGTCTCTAGAAATTGGATTCTATGGTCTAGTGTGTTTATTCCTGCTCTGGTTTTGATAACTCAATACCTACTGTTATTTTTTCTCCTGCCTCAGTCTCAGAGTAGGGTAAAATCACAAAGATCAGTCATGCTAGGACCAGGGAGGCTGGTGTGGCACCAGAATGTGAGTCCAGGTAAGTCCCAGGAGGGTGTGAGGGAAGCATCAACGTCTCATCCAAAAAGCAAAGTTGGACTTGAGCCCCAGTCACACATTGAATCAAAGTGCAAAGTGTGACAGATCTTAGCAGGCTGTGCTTGACAGAAGAATGTTCTTGGGCAAAGCTGAAGTCTAATCGTGCAAGGGTCAACAAAGAAGCAAATATGCTAAAAATAGAAGGAGCCTAGAAGCCCATTTAAATGACTCTACTTAGACTGCGCTTTGTTTTGGTGCAAGCTTCTGTGAATATTGATGTCCCTTGGTCTGTGACAGGTCCTAGCTGATCTTTAAGGCGCACCAAGTAGAAATCAGTGCTGATCCAGCCTAAGGCTCACATTTCCACTTTGACTCAAGAGCAGGATCAAAGCAGGTGTATGATTTGAGTAGAACACAGAAGTCTATGGCAGCCTCCATTTCCCATGTCGGTCCAGCTAAAGCTTAGCCTTCAGTGAATTAGTTTTCCCAGTCTGAATGAAAAATCTGGCACTTTTGGAAATGGATAAAAACAGCCCAAATGAAAACATGCAAAGGATATTTACAGTTGAAAACTATTCCTGGTCTCTTGGTTATAGACTTGTTTGTAAGTGTTCGATTGCTACATACAGTCTTGCTATTGTCTGTAGAATAAGTATTGCAAAGTATACACTTTCTAATTTCTTATCAGGCAATTTTAGTTATTTAATATGTAATGTGAATTAATTTCAATTTATTACACTGCTGGGGACAATATCGCCTTTCAAAGAGTTTATAATTCATTAAACATTGCACAGTAAATTCTATAAACAAAGCACTCTAGGAATCCAAGTGGGGGTTATTAAGTATAGCTTTTGGAGTGGCTAAATTAAAACCAACTGCACAATCAGGGAGAATTGATCTGAGCCTTTAAGAATACTGGGTGCAAACAGCTCTTTAAAATGAGGTGGGGAAAGAGAATTGGGGGACGTTTTTAAGTTTGAGAACAGGAGAGTGGAGAAGTACGAGACCTAAAACAAGTTTATGGATGTCCATCTTCTGTACTGATCTGGATGACGCTATGTACAATCTTTTTATTGACTCTTAATGCCTACATTGCAAATTTTTGCTCAGAATTCCATTCCTTCTTCATGTTTTTCAGCTAGATCTCAACTAAAACCTACCATTTTTTCTATGCTCTAAATGTTAAAGTTTTAACATACCTAATACAGCCTAGGTAGAGTCTTACCAAATTCTGTGCAGAAAGAACTTGGCAAGAAAGTGTTTTCAATGCCTTCCACCAATGCAAGGGTCAGGATCAACCCACTGTCAGACTCCAGTTTGTGGATATTTTTGGTCTCACGGCTCAGACAATCTTGTCATTTCTCCAATTTCAATTATAGCTCAAATACAGTGCAATGAATGAACGCAGACAGATTTGTCCCCGGGATGAGCTGTTTGGCTTGGAGGCCAGCATGTAGTTTTCTGATCCCTTCCTTAGTGGGTGGAAATTCTCCAACAGAGATTGGCTGTGGTGGAGCAAATGTGAGAATTCAGAAAATGCCAGTTCTTCGGGAGCACTCCAGAAATATTCCAGATATATTTACCAGTGGCCCTCA